CCCCCGTGCCCCCCACCCCAGGTGGCTCCCCCGAGGGACAGACTGGGAGAGGAGGAGTCCACACGGTGAGAGCAGGGCTGGGCAGGGGTGCCATACCTCTCCCTGTGTCCCGGGTCAGAGCAGCAGGAGAGAGCCAGAGAAGAGAGTTAGCCGGGGCCGGGACGCGCGGATTCCCCATGGCCCCCACGACGCGAGGGTCCCCGCTGTGACAGCGTGGGTCAGTGCCCCGGCCCACGAGACCCATGCCTGCCCCAGGATGGCTGGGGGGGGTTCAGGCCCAACAACCCCACACCTCCCCTATTTCATGCACAGAAACATCTACGGCCCCCCCATCAGGCTGTGCATAAGCCCACCGATGGCCCTGCACTTTGCGTGCACAGCCCCCCTCCAACACACCCGTGCCTTGCGTGCACACAATCCCTGCGCACCCCTACACCCTGTGTGCGTGCAGATCCCCGCACGCCCCATGCCCCGCGTGCACAGGACCCCCCACAGCCCTGCGCGCACATGGGTCCATGCACACCTCCATGCTCTGTGTGTATGGGACGCCCTCCAGAGCACCCCAACCCACACACACCCAGCACGCAGGGGACATCCCCGCGTGACCCTCGCTCTGCGAGCACAGGGGCCAGCACAGTCCCTGCACGCACAGGAATCCCTGCACAGCCCCCCACCCTGCACGCATGGGACCCCCCATTCAGGCTCTGCAGACCCCTGTACCCTGAGCACAAGGAAAAGCCCCACGCAGTCCCCCCACCCGGGTCCCCTGTTCCCCTGCATGCCCCACCATCCTTCATCACAGGAGATCCCGCACGGCCCTGGGCATACAGGCACCCCCAGCATGCCCCCCATGCCTAGGCGCCACGCGGCCCCGGCAGCTCCTGCGCGTGCAGGAGGGCCTGGTCCTGCGGATCCACCAGCTTCAGCGTCTGGCTCTCCAGGAGCAGGAGCATGGCCCGGCCCTGGGGGAGAGCCACGTTAGGGGCCTGATGGGGGGGCGTTAGGGGCCAAAAGACCAATACGGGGGCAGAGAGTGGCGCCAGAGGTAGGAGGGGTGATACAGGGCCAGAGAGCAGCTTTAGGGCCTAGGGCGGAGAAGTGATGGTTGGGGCTGGAGGGGAAATGCAGGGGCCAGAGGGGCGTTAAGGTCAGAGGGGTAGCGTGGAACCATGGAGGGGTGAGGCTTGGGGCTGCAGGGGTGACACAGGGCTGGAGAGCAGCGTTTGGGGCAACGGGGGCAATGTTTGGGGCAGACGGGCAACCCTGGGGCTGGAGAGGCGACTCTGGGGGCTGGAGGGGGGACACGGGACGGGCGCTCACCTCTCCCCAGGTGCCCGGCGGGCCGTGCTGGTGCAGGGACAGCTGGCGGATACAGTTGTTCACGGCAATGCTGCTCTTCCCTGGGGCCAGCTCTTCTTCGCTCATCTCCACCCAGCCCAGCGAGCGCACCGCAAAGCACTGCAGGAGAAAGCACAGGCTAGCAAGCACCACGGGGTGCACTGAGTGGGGCAGGGGCCAGGACGGGCCCATTCCCAGGGAGACGGCGTCGCCTTCTGAGACAGGGCCAGTGAGGATGGACAGCCACCTTCGTGCACATGCACGAGGCGCACTCATTTCCAGGGACAGGGCTGCCCATCCGCACTGAGCCGTGGCCATGGAGGTGGAGGCACCACTGCGATGCTGGGGGCAAGAGCGGGGCCCAGCTCCACCCACGACACCAGGGAGAGGTGAAGCAGGGGCAACCGGAGAAGGGGCCAGACTCCAGCAAGGCGTGGGTCTAGGGGGAAAGGGGCTGGGGAGATCTGGCAAGGAGCCCTTGTGTCGTGAGAGGAAGGCCTCGGAGCCACAGTGACCGCGGCTCCTGGGCCTACCTTAGAGCCTGGCTTGTCCTCTTCGTCTTGGGCCATGCTGCAAGACCAAGGGAGGCTGTCAGCACACTGTACCTGTTCACTGCCCCAAGGCCTCCAGGTGGGGGAGACCCCAGTGGAGCACCCTGCTCTAACCACAGATCCAACCTGCTCCAGCTACGATCAAGAACCCAGGCATCCGGCTCTCTGCTACACGCTGAACTTGCATAACCTCCCAGCTGCCCCAAGAACCCAGGCACCCGCCTCCCACCCACACTCCACCACCACCCCGGCCACCCCAAGAACCCAGGCACCCGCCTCCCACCCACACTCAACCAGCACCCCCACCACCCCAAGAACCCAGGAACCCAGCTCCCACCCACACTCAACGAGCACCCCCACC